ATTGCTGAGAAATCGATTAGATCGAGCACTTTGAGACGGATCACTTGCCCAGTGAACTGGATCAAAGAATGCGGACCACGTTTGCGTCAATGAAACATTAATCCGATGCATAAGGGATAAGGCGGAATTAACTGTAAGTTATTTATGGCGGACTTAAAATGCGCATCGGCCCGAACTATATTTCTAATCCGGTGTATCGTAAATACAGTGTCCATAATCATAAAGTGCCGGAACGGACAGTTACGGGAGAGCCATTCGCTGAATTGCAACGCGATCGGCGTTGCAATGTATCAATGTAGAAAATCGAAGAATGTTTGCGCGCAAGGAGAATACCTATATGCCATGACAACAGTGCCGAATTTGTTGAGTTTACATTTAATGAGGCGATCGACATGTATTATGGATGAATGGGTGGGATGGACGTTTTTTATAAGTTAGCGGAACTAAGTGAGCAGAATCAATTCTAATTAATATTTTCCTTTGTTGTGTGCTCATTTGTTGTTAAAAAACTGTGAAAGAAAAAAATTTGTTGTGTCAGTTTTCTTAAAAAATTATGTTCCGCTAAAGGAAGATTAAGTTAGCGGAACAATATAATACATAAAAACAAATGGTACTCGACAATAAGTAGAAATTTATTGCTAATTTATTGCTATCAAAATATCCAAGTTTTGAATCTATTACTTGCAAAATAAATGTAAATAATAACGAAAAACCCTCTAGCGTGTAATTTTAAGCGAAATAACATCGAATTTTTTACTTGTATTTTATTCTTGTACCGCTTGCATGCTGAGGGATTTTTCGTTGTTATTTACGCGTATTTTGTAAGCAACAAATTGTAACCTACATATTTCGTAAGCAACAAATTCAGAAAATATCGTTGCGCCAAATTTAAGCGAGCAACAAATTTTTTACTCGTACTTTATTCTTGTATCTGAGAGGCTTTCGTTATCATTTATATTTATTTTGTAAGCGACAAATTCAGAAAATTTCTGCACCAAATTTAAGAGAACAAATTTTTTACTGGTATTTTACTCTTGTATCGCTTGCACGCTAAGACATTTTTCATTATTATTTTCATTTATTTCGCAGGTAACGAATTCGTTCGGATATTTCGACAGCAATAAAGTAGCAACAAATTTCTACGTTATTTCTAAGTAGAATATCTATATGTATATTTTATTCCGGTAACTTAATTTTTCTTTAGTGGAACATTTTTTTTTTTTAAGAAAACTTGCAGAGCAACAAACTGTTTTCTTTGACAACTTTTTAGTGACAAATGAGCAACAAATAAAAATATTGATTTGAATTGATTCTATTCATTCAAATTCGCTAACTTATATATAAACATGACTTTACATGATTAATAATTATTATATATTATGTGTGTTAATCAGTAATCCTGAGAGTATGGCATCAATATTTTCAGTATTTTTACAACTTTACACGATTAATATTATTGACAATATGTCTATTTTTACGTCTATTATCTATTGTTTATTGTGTACTGTCACTATGACATAATGTGACATAGAACCTAATAAAGCGATTCTGATACTCGAAAATCAAAATCTAGATTGTCGTCAATATTCTACGCCAATCCATCAATATTAACTGCACACGATTAGTAATATTGCCAGTATTCGTTAATACTGACAGTATTATTGCCAGTGTAAGGGTTACCTTAAAATGTACAGTTTTCGTTAGTACGAAATATTACTCGAATTGTACCAATATATATGTCATTCGAAAACAAAATTTCAATAATTACCAATTTTAATAGACTTTAAATGTAGACTTAAAGACATCACGGCATTTTAGAAAAAAAGTGTCGTGCCGATAACTTATCACAATTCAAGCAACATTTTTCGTTAGTTTTAGCAGAATTCAAAAAGTTAAAAATGATGCAACGTACTCGACTGGAAGCACGAACGTGTCCGTCCCGATCACTATCGTACGAAAAAATTTGAACGTGCACCATGACGAGATCGAATAATTCTTCGCGACGAACCTCGATAAAAAACGCATCACGATGAAGGGGATAAGATTTCGACGGAATATTTTTCTGTAAAACTCGAACGGAACTCCTTGCTCCGATCTGAGACACGACGGATAATGGAATACGTATGTCTATCGGGTATACGAATGGGGACAATGCGCATAAATCTATTCTCAAGTTGATAGATATGCAACGCGCTCGTGGGAGCGAGCACCAACTGAAAACGGATCGTTGACCCGTTCTATTGTTGAGACATTTCCTATTATAGTCATATATACGCTGAAAAGAAGTTTGCAACACTTTTATGTATCCGCTGGTCTACAGTTCTACAGGATAAAAATGTACACGATTTTTTTCTATAAAATTAGGTATTGATATAAGTTAGCTGTAAGTCACAAGCTTTAGAAAAGCACGTAATAACTATATAAAAATAAATGTTACTATAATAGTAGATTTAAGTTTTCACTATAAAATTATTCGTAATTTGTGAATCCTTATAGATAAAGTATATAATAACAAAAGGAATTACAAAATTAATTACTAATAATAGCAGTTTTGAAAATAAAACGTTTTTAAACGGTTGCGAAAATTCTTTATAAAAAGTTATTTTTTAATGATAAATTTATATAATTTTCTTTCTCTCTCTTTTTATAATTTGAGGTCTTACTTCAATCTAAATACTGTAATTATTGTACATATTGCTATTCACTGTGATTATTTCACTTTCGTCCAACTATATGTACGTATCAAACACGCATTATTGAATCATCGTGCAATTAATAATTACGGATGATTAATGTAAGTTATTGCAACGTATCGTCGCCATCCGGCGGCTAATTGACGCACTCGCAATTATTAATGATAATATTACAATCAATCATTATCACTAATTTTCACGGAATGTACAACATGGAAATTATAGTTTTTACATCAAATTGGCTACACACAATAATTCAGCTCCTCATCACAGTTATCCTTGTTATCATGATATTTGCATGTAATAAATACATTAACGAAGTAATTTTAGCTATATTAAATGTAAATTAAATCTGATATGATACATTATAATTATCTGTGATACGAAATTGAACTAAACATATATTTTCGCAATTCTCTCTTATTCTCTGAAAATAATAATAAATTGTAAAGAAAAACGATGAATTTTTTGTCATATAATTTAACGCATACACGATTTTTCACGAAGATAGCAAAAGAATGGTAGTTTCTGTCTTAGTTTGAACTCATATCTATTAAAAAATGGGGGGAAAGACGCGATTTATAGACCGATATTTTCATACGCTGGTAACGAGCAGGAAGTAGCCGAGGCAATGGAACTTGCGGGTTAAGTGGATGAGAAAAGTTTCCCTAATATTACCGGGAGGCAAGAGAGAGATTGATCTGCAGGCGAGCTCGTCGAAGGGATTAGTCGTAGCCCGACTAGTCCCGTGCGATTTTCATCAGGTGATGGTACTTTAACTATAGATTAAAGGATTCGTCTGGTAACCTGAAATGAGATCCGCCTTCCATACGAGACCGAAAACCCAAATCAGCCAGCAGATGAAAAGGGGGATACATCATTGGCGACGAATTTACGGGTATTTGAAAAAGACTCCAGTTTGATAGAGTCCTCGTAAAGCTTTAACGAATCTACTCGGCTGCATTTGTGCAAAACACTACACAGTACAGCGAACCGAGTCGAATTGCGTCGGTTAGCCTTTCAAGGAATCTCGTATAACATGCCAATTTTGAATTTCTAAATTTATTCCGAAAGGAAATTATCAGAGTTGGTTGAAAAAGTTGAGTGAGTGAGAAACAAACCATGATAAATTATAATTTTTATTCCACGATCTTATCCAATGAAATAAATTAGCAAAAACTATTTAAAAAAACGAATATGTAACTCTAAAATATATTTACATATACTTTATGCAATAACTTTATGCAAAAAGATATTTTTGCCTTAATTAGTAAATCATAATATATGAATTTAAAAAAATTAAATTAATAACGAACCAATATAGTAATAAAATCTTATAATAACGAAATGTCTTTTTATTATTTTATTTCAAATTATATGTGAAACACATTTTTAAAACAAAAACTTGGAAATATAAATATTACTAAATGTTGTATTTTTAACAAGGAAAATATAATATAATAATATAATTAAAAATGTTTGTTAACATAGATGCTTGTAAAGATATCGATAAAAAGATTTTCTATTTATTTTAATAATTTTAATAAAACAACTTTTAATCAATTTTTGCCAGTTTTTATCACGTACAAAATTTTGCTAACTTTGGAAATTATCCCTTCCTGAATAAATTCTTATTCTGATCGCCATTCTCGTTCGATGTTCAATTGAAAGACAGAGGGCACAGGCTCGTCCGTAATTCGCGAATAACTTACAGTCCAACGCGTTGATTATTATAAATCGGACGTTTACACACCGGGTTTAATTTGCAAGGAGTTGCGAGACCGTTAGACGTTCCATCGATAACCGAGCTGATGACTCTCGCGAGAGAGTGCGAATACCAGGAAGCGCCGTTCGACATTATCGAGGCCCGCGATATCCATCAGCCTAATGGTCTCGCAGCTAAGGTAAGCGTGTAAAGCTCATTAAAAGCTCGTTAGAAAGCCGCCACCGGCATGCCGGAACGGTCGAAGTGGATGTCGGGAAATCGGTCAGAAAAGTGGAGATCGAACACGAAGGAAATAAAAACGATTGAGAGATAAACTCTCGAGTTACCGAATTTATCGCGAAATAAACAGCTCTATTTTTGTGTAAAGGCAGTAGTCTCGTTTCTTCTTAATCTATAATACATGTGTAAGATCATTGGACAGCTTTATGAATTTGAATTTCTTACTGTCGTACAACGGTTGCATATGAATTTCATTCTGGATATCATTAAAAATAATAAATCCAGATTTAAAATTCTAACTAATGTTTACAAGTATACTAAAATATAAATGCGTGAATTGTCACGCATCGAAATATCTATACCTGAGTCATGGTATCGCCATTGACTTTCAATTTCGACTGGAAATTGCTCTGCTCCAAGAGGATCATTGCGTTATTAATGTAAACGTCCACGCCGTATCTGCCCGGTCTCCTGGTGATCCACAAGGGTGGGTTGCCCTCCAACTCGGAAGATATCGAATCCCTCAGCTCCTCGATTGTCAAAGGCCGGTTCGCTAAAATCAACAAAAACGATATCTTGTTAGTATATTGTGTAAGCTTCATAGAAATACTTTGGATGTTCGAAACGTTTCTTTTTTTTATTGTTCCGAAGATGAATGCGCTTCGAAGAAGCTACTTCAGGCTACCACAAGGATCGCGATTTAGTTTTCTTCAAGACTGCAAAGTTTTTAGTTTCTGAAGATTTTTATTCTCGGTGAAAAGAGACAAAGGGAGAGAGGGGGGAGAGAGGGAGAGAGAGAGAGAGAGAGAGAAAGGGAAGAACATGCGAAGAAAAACGCTGAAAATAACGTAAATGGCGAATGGGATAGAAGAGCTGGAGATAGAGCAACTTCAAAAAGTCCACGGCGAAGCTACAATGCTCGTCGCTTTATTATCCCGTTACCGGAGAACGTCCTCGTAATCTTGAGGTTTTTTCTCTCATACGGACGGATAATAGAGAACGGGGAACAGAGACACATCCCTGCTATTGTTATTTGATGTCACGTGAAAGTCAGCTGTGATAAAAGCTTAATCGAATTTTTTTTTAACAAAACTAAAATATTTTTTCTTACATTTTTTCAACTTCTCTTAATTTTTTTGCAATGCATTTTATTAATCTTTCAGTTTACAAAAGCTCAAAAGCAATTTTCTTTGGATATGATTTATAATCGATATTACGTAAGTACACACAATATTTCTCGTAAAAACTATGACAGAGAGAAGTTTATAGAAAGATAAGATGTATGTACATATTTTTGAGCTTCATAAAAAGTTTAAGGAAGACAGATAAAATCTAGAATAAACTAAATATATCTATAGATAGAGAATTGTATTGCGTGCCATTTTATTAATGTAAATGATAATCTCAGAATCAGCCTTTGTTCTAAATTTCAACATTTTTCAGAACAAAATCCAAATTACACTTTGGTGTACGAACAAACGGAAATTATTCTACCCTATCTTGCTCTTATCTTAGCATGAGAATGTGCAACGCCTCCCTTGAGTGCGACCTATTGAATATCGTGGCAACGGGTATTGTACTTTCCAAGAACAGCCCTTCACGACACAAGCGAGTATATGTACCGTTCCTCGCAAGCTGGGAAAGTCCAATCTCCTCGAGGAAGAAAGCGGCTGGGCGGTAGTACTGCCAACAATGACGCTCATTACGAACGCTAGGAATTGAGTCCCCGTTTCGTAAACCACCGGCCGTTTTATCCCGCGAAACTTTCCAGAACAAGAAAGCTGACGCCGTAAAACCTCGTTCTCCCGACAGCGCAGTGACGATTGAGGTGGCGTTTTCCTTTCGAAAAATAATTCTCCTTCACGAATTTCTCGTGGAATTGCACGACAAAGCGACGTTTTATTCACGACTCGGAAATATATTTCGCGCTAATATTTGACAAACGTATCTTAGACAGCATACAGTGTCTAGAAAACGTCTCTTTATGATGTCTTTTAGATATCCTTTAGCCCTGGTTCCACGAATGTCAAATTAATTTTCAAGTCACATAATTTAACTTCTATCTCTTTTTATTCTTGAAAATAGAAATGGGACTCAATACTTAGATGTAGACAAAAGATGTCGGTCCACTCTTGACCCGTGTGAAGTTGGCCCCCCAAAACATAATTTTCGTATATCTTTTGAACTAAGGGTGAGCAAACGAAAATTCCAACTGATGAGCAAACGAATGCATGAAGAAAAAAATCGATTTTTTAATATTGGGGGGGCCAGCTTCACACAGGTGTCCACTTGGCACTACAAATGACTCAAAATGTTTAACTGACCAATCGAAGAATCTTGTTAATTGTCTGATCAAAAGAATGTTGTTAATTGTTTAATTAAAAAATCGAAGTATTTTAGTATCAAGTGGACCTTAGCTTTTACAATGTTTTTATGATGTTTTTTAGACATACATTGTCTGAGACCACTCTCGATTCGAGGAAATGTTACTTCGACACTTTTTAATTCCTTTGGATTCTCTCGCATCTTAATTTCTCGCGTACTTGTATCTTCTCAAATTTTTAATGATTGCGTAAACGGTAGTTCGTGCACAGACGGTGAAGTACGAGAATATTTTTTTAATTACGTCGGCGATAATTCGTACGAAGGAACTCGGACGAATCGCGCGTAAAACTGTGCAATAGGATAATCATAAAGTTTATGATCCGCCGTCATGTATGAATCGCTGGAGCTAGACGATTACGACATCGAGAGAAGTCGCTCATCGCATTGCCAGAGTAACGTTTGATGGCTGCGATTCGAGGCGTAAAAGTCAAAGTTGGCCTTTATAGTGAGTGTCGCTAAGTTACGCGATATATAGGACGAGGCCGTCAATCAGTTAGAGACGATATTTTTCCCCAAAGTGTACGTCCCATTAATATACTGTACGTATATTGAAAACAAATTTCACGTGTAATGATTCCTCTATCAGAAGAGCCGCATGCTCGCAGGCAGCTTTCGCGAGCTACACCTTATTAAGATAAATTTCTTTCGGTACGGCATTTCTTCAACGTGAAGCGACTTCTGGCTTATCCTGTATACGTACATGTCGGAGAAGTTCACTACTCTAGTCTAGAATAGCGCATCGTGTGCCACACCATATAACGCTTTTATATCTCCGTGACGCCTCGTCAATCATTCCCGAATGGTTGCATGCTTGATCATTCTTCCGCTAGGTGAGGAGCTTCGGAAGGGGATACGCGAAGCGCATACAGAAAACGTTGCAGCTCCAATATATTACGAAACACTCCGCGTGTGAATTTGAATGTAAACCATACCCGTTTCATCCCGTTGTTACTCTATAAATGTCCTAATATTTTTAAGGGAAAAATCAAATTTAAAAGAAATCAGATTAAAAAAGAAAAGTTAAGGTTGTCCTATTCTTCTATTTTTCATTTTTTTCAAATTCTCTAGTACTCCATTATTACAGACTTTTTATATATATACCTATTGTTTTCTCTTAGCTGCTTAGAATTTTATAAAGTTATTGTATCTCGAGAGAGTATAATTTATTATCGTTTCAAATAATAATTTAATGTGTAACGAAAAATTGCTAAATTCATTTATTCGATCATCCTCATACGAAGGCGGAATTTTTGCGAATCGCCGATAACCCCGCTGTAAGTCGGCATGGTAATACAAAGCACGTTTGGAACCTGGTTAAAAGCAGCGATCGTATTATCGCGGGTCGAAATAGAGCTTTATTCGTACCGACTGGATTTTTATAGCGCGTCTCCCGGCAGATTTTTCTTGTTGCGCCGGAGTGCTTTATGCGGCCGTGATCGAGTCGCGCAGGGCGTATGTATGCCTTTCAGGAGGGCAATATCTCTGGCTTCGGGCTCGGGGCTCTCGCGAGCATTTTGTCCCAGCAGCCGAGCCTTTCCGCCGCTCTTTCAACGAGAGGGACGCAGAGGGGGAGGCAGAGGGGCTGCCCCGAATGATTAAGCTGCCGATCGATTCGCATTTATTTTCTACCCCGCGAACTCCGCCGCCCGCGATGGCGGGCGATGCGGGGCACAGGTGCTACGGCCGACCGCAAAACGAGAACAACTCGCGCAAAGCTGCTTGCGCATCGATTTATATCCTCCAACCCTTCGCCCTGACGTCTCTTCTGTCCCCTTTCGGCATAGCCGGAATCCGACTTTCGAACATGCACGTCGGTTGCGTCTGATGAGGACGAATTGCGTTGTCTCTTTATTGAATGTTTATTCAGATGCGATGGAAATGGTACAGCCGGATATATTTTGTCATATATATTCTAGAGAAAGGTACTTCTTCAGAAGTACTTAATATAAAATAATAACGATAGATAGGTATATAATGGGACGTTAAAAAATATAGCGCTTCCTTTTTAATCTGTTGATTAAAGAAAATGAATTAACTCAACATTTGAAAAAAAAAAAAAAAACTTGCGGATAAGACGAATCACAACTCGTTACAAAAATTTAAGAATTATAAGATTCGTATTTTTTTAATTGTAATATGTTTATATAATATATTATGAATATATAAATTGTTTACTTATTTATAAAAAAATATTTATATTTGATTTTACTTATATGTATATACTTGAATTTGTATTAGAAATAAATCGAGGCATTTTAACTTTATAATTGTTGTGGATGAGTTAATTCGTCTCTACAGAACTGCACAAGAAATGATTATGATCGATGAATTTCTGAATAATTAATAAATTAAGAAATATAATTAAAGAATATACTTAATATAATTAATAAGTTAAAGAATATAAATAAAAAATGAGCATTAATTTTCATTTTTGCTTCTTATAGAAATTTAATATTGACAGGTAGTAATTAATTATTTATTTTATTAATATTTTAAGATAGTGATTAATTACTTATTTTATATTAGCATTTTATTAAAAATATAGAAAGTATTATGAGAATTAAAAGTATTAAAAATATTAAAAACATTGTTGTACAACACTCAAAATAATAAATAATTTCCGACATTAAATTTGGTCAATACACACTAAAAAAAATTACTGAATTTTATTATATATGTTGTTTGTGAATAGTTAATTAACAAAATATTTATTTACAATAAATAAACATTTATTTAAAATAAAAAAGTTATATTTAAATGACATAAATATATATTTACACATTTAGTAAATATTTCGTTAGTACTATTCAAATAAATATTTAATAAAATTCAGTATTTTCTTTTTCAGTATATTTTAAATTAGATTTCTATAAGACCGCCATACCCACATATCAAATACATCTTATTTTTAAATTAATTTATATAAACGAAAAATTAATTTATATTTTGTTCTTATTGTCCTTAAATGCTTATCATATTATTGTTTATGAGAACGTATGTACCTTGTATGTGTGTTTATTATTGAGTTGTCTTACTGAATTTGATCGCGCATGCAAAAATCAGTTATGTTGCGAACTATAGAAGTAGCAGATGCCAGTACATGGCGCCAACTAGCGGCATAAGATGTTCGTGTCAGCTGACAGCTGTCGGTTGCGTTTAGTTGCGTTCGGCTACGCATTGGCTGTACGCTCGTTCGCGTCTATTCGCATCAGTTCGCGACGTGCTGCGAATAATCTAGAATAACTGTTGTTTTTCTTATCTATGACAGAAGTGGGTGTTTAAGACGGATATACCTGACATCTCGGCGGCATCGACGCCGATCGCAGAATGGAGAACGTTTCTCTAACCAAGGTAAGCGATACGACACGTGCAACCTGTTGCTATCGCCGGCTTAACCTCAAAGTGTAAAGTTAGCGCGCCGAAACGCCGAATAATGATTCATAGTCCGTCGCTTTCGCACGCTTTAAAAGTTTACCGAAAAGTCCCGTCGTTACTCTCGTATTACTTTTGTCTTTGTAATTAACGGTCATTTCTGTATAAAGTTTTTGTTTTCGACTTCTTTAAAAATTGGTATTTATAAAATATTTAATTTTATGAAAATCATACAGATATTTAAAATTAAATTAATTTCGATTAAAGAATCTAGAAATAATTTTTGTCAATTAAGGATTTTTCTTTCTCTAATATTTTTAAGGATTAAAAAAATGATTTTCGATATAAATAATAAGTTAAATGAATTAAAATTGTAGGAATAAAAATTTACGATAATAAAATTAACGATAATTGGCAATTGTAGTGAAAAGATTATTTTGTATAATAATTGAAAGAGTAAGGGATTAGCTCCTGATTTTCTCTTCTAATCAAATATGTAATGCATAATGATTTTTATAATTAATACTAATGCAATCTAGTCATAGTAAATTCTATGCAAGGATAATAAAACAGTTTAGCATTGATATAACAGAGAATCGTAGTTAATTAAAAATGAAATATTGAACGTGACTCTTTTAGGGAGTATTTGCATACAAAGGAAGTTACAAAATTGGGAAGAAGAAAAAGAAAGTTATATACCCGGCTTATTTTAATGAACCCTGGTATATCGCGTATAACGAAACATGGGGATATATCGAGCAGGCTGCGGAGGTATAACCATCGTGTGTTAGCACTAGCTATAAATTTCAATCAAACAGCAGAATATCTAACAGAATACATTAATATTTCAGAATGTCCGATCGAAAATGTTTCAACAAGTTATATCCAATTTGGAGTCTTTCGTATCAAAAGTAAAAGCGACTCCATTGAATGTGTCGTTTCACGAAATAGCGACGGCTGTTTTGTTAACAGGTGAAAACAAACGTTACATTTTTAATAAAGTATATTGCCATTTTTCCAACACGAAATGTACATAAACTAAATTTAATCAAAAATCTCTTTAAAATAATGTACCGAAATAATTTTTACCTATTAAAGATTTCTTTTCCTTATGTTTTTAAGGAATTTTTCTTTAACGATTTTTGATAAATATTAACAACAAATATTAAATGAATTAAAATTGTAGGAGTAAATGTCCCTGATCATACGACACTTTTCGACACGGTAACGTCCAAGCTCAGTAAAATAACGCCGCACTTAGCAATGATTTGCAGCAGAAATTGTAACAGTGTGAAGAACATCATCGAAGACACTGTGTACCAATTTATTCATCAAACTTCAAGTTCTGAATCTGAATTAGCCAGTGATTCTGAATCGGTTAGTTTCGCGAGAATAGTACTATGTAGGAATAAGCAGTTTCTGTTGCAATTTAAATAAATTATCATTTGTAGAACCATATTCCTGAAGTGCGTAAAAGTCAATGCACTATGCGTGTCTTAAAAAATATGTTTGCGGAACATCACGATCCGGAGGATCCTTTAATTATAATTTTGCCGGACTTCGAAAGCTTCCCCATTAATGTGTTGCACGATTTTATTTTGGTGTTGAGGTATTGACAACATTTCAATGCATGAACAATGCGTTAAAAAATTACATGAACCTTCAAAGAAATATCTGCATGAATAAATCATTTTCAGTTCGTATAGCAGTACATTGAAGTTCGTACTCATTTTCGGCGTCGCGACTACGTTACACGTCGTGCATAAATCATTGACATATGACGTCACATCGAAGTTAGTCGTGCAGGCAAGTCAAACAAAAATATTTTGACGTCCAGCGTAAATGTTTGCGCGAGGACCATAAATAATTCGTTGGCTCTTTATTTAGGTATTCTATACGCAAACGCAAGTCAAAACACTAGCCGATGTATTGGAGAACACTGTTTTCTCTACAAAGATTCCATTTAAATTAATCGGCCGAGCGTTTCAGTTACTGACTGACATTTTTCTGTTTTACGATTTTTCGGTGGATAATTTCTTACAAAATTATAAGGTAACGAGCAATCGGTGAAATCTAATTGCTAAGTCAACAAATAACAATCGGTTGATTATTATAAATTTCGATGATTTTTAGATATGTATGATACAACATTTTTACGAGAACAACGTGAGTTCTCTTTGTTGTCAACCGAAAGACATTAAGAAAAAAGTATCTGAACTCACTGCTGAAAGTATCGCGGAAATTAAAACTTTACCGTCTATCGCTAAATATTTGAAGACGTCGAATGCGAGTGGAGATAAAAAGCTCAGCGATAAAGAATTCAAGGTTCGCATAGTTTATTTACGAGAATTAAAAAGGATTGCAAAAATTACAGCTATCAGTAACGAAATGATCCCTTTTAAATAATATGTAATTATTAAATTTACGCTAATGTGAAACATTTTAATATAACAGTTCACATTATCAAGCTGTATTATATTGGAAACGGAAGGATGGAAAATTTTTTTAACAGAAATAAAACTTTTATTCAACAGATGTAGCTACAACTTTTAAATGCGTCTCTCAGAATTGTTACTGATGTACATAATTTAATTTTTGATAATCTCTCGTTTACAAACTATTTTTTAAACTTCGTTTTTTGCAGGAATTGTTGGAACAGTTGTTAAATAAATTTCATAAATTTATGAATCAATTTTTGATTGTTTTGAGATGTTTGCATTCTATGGTTGCATCATTGCCAGGTTCGCCAATGGGTAAACAGGTAATATAACACTTTATTGATTCAGAGAATAAAAGATATTTTATTACGCAAGAAAGTGTTACGGCCATTCTACATAAGACGCAGAACGCAGATCGCAGGTCGCGAGTGAAACGTATTTCAGATTGTGATAGGTTGCAGACCGAAATATGAAGGACGCAGGACGCAAAAGTTGAAATTCACCCAACTTCCTGCGTCCTGCGTTCTGCGTCCTACAACTTATTATAACTAAAATATGTAAGGTTAGTTTCTAGTCTTGCGACCTGCGACCTGTGTTCTGCGTCTTATGTAGAATGGCCTTTACGTCGAATTAAAAATTGGAATCGTGGAATAATCATTTCAGTTGCGAGAGGTTTACACTAAAGCGGTTTACACGAGTGATCTCACAGAATCTTCCGAATACAAAGATTGTATGAAATTATTGGGATTTTTATCGAAAGAAGAACTTCTCTCGAAACTCGTATCTGTTATAAAAATTATCGAGGATTCCAAAGATTCACAAATTACTAAAATTAAAATCGATCTTAACAATCACATCAAGACGATTCGAGAAGCTAGTTTAAGCGTCACAACTACCTCCGAAATCATCAGTGTGGAAGAAAAACTTAATCGTATGCAACTAAAGGAGGTGTGTGCAAAATCGTACTTTCTTAACTGTTTTTTTTTTGTTTTATTAATTCTTTGTTCCAAAAAAAGTATATTTTTAACTTATAAAAGGAAAGAACGATTTTGAAATTTACCTAAAAACTAGATACAGATTTGAAAATAATTTTGTTGAATCATTAAAGTAATTATCTCGGTAATTATAAATAAGAAACTCATGCATAATGAACAATACAAAATTTTTGGCATTCTGACAATCAGTTTGAGTGTCCTACATAATTATTTTGATAGTTTAATAGAATTATTTTTAAATCTATATTTAACTAAATTTTTAGATACTTCAACAAAACCAAAATATGAAAAAGCAATTTTGCTGAAATTAAAAAATTTAACTAGATACAGATTTGAAAAATAATTTTGCTAGATTATTAAAACAATTAAATAGGACAACAAAATTGGTTGCTGAAATATCAAAACATTTTGCAACATGTTTAAGAGTCCTGCAAAATTATTTTCAGATCTGTAGTCAAATTTTTAGATTCTTCAGCAAAATCGCTCTTCCAATATACTTAAACTATCTCATACTGCAAATTAAAGCAATGCTTGCATATTAAATCAAGTTAAATCTAATAACGCACGAATAATTTTTCATTACTTTATTACACGATTAATAAGATTTAATTATAACATTTTATGCGAAGCCACGTAAAGGTGAGTTTTGTTTCTTTTATATATAATACATTACTACACCATCAAGTACGAACAATCAGAACTTTACGGTTTTGAAATAAAAATTGTCGATGAAAACGCAGTGATTACTGGCGCCTGTTCAACTACTGTGTTAGTTTATTCAACTAATGTGCCGTGTTTTCAGAAATTACTCAAAATGAGTCAGCAACAGTCGCGTTCTGCTTACAAGCAGGCGCTGCTTGACTTGATCAATTACTTAGACGAAAAAGTATTTTCCGTTCATCTGATCGATCCGAGTCGCGTGACGGCTCACGAGATATTTTGCTACAGCGATGGGAATCAGGCGAAGCATCATATTCGCGGCTCTTTGCGGGCTGCTATACACACCGGATTGAGCGATCCACAGATGTATCTGGATGTAAGTGAAGTAGAACTTCGCACAAATAGCTTATGCACGCGATTTTAGTTAACTGAGTTAACTCTCTTATCACGCATCGTCACAAAGTAGGAATGTGCTCGAAAAATTCGTGGAAATTTAGCATTGCAAAGTTCAACTTTTATGTAATATAAATGTATATCTGCACATAGGGCATTGTACTGTTTTAACCCTTAAACGCCACACTACGCGAACACACTGCCCAAACCAATTTGACTGTTTATAAAAAATTGTGATAAAAATAAACATTATAAAAAAACTTTTCAATAAAAAAAAACGATAGACATTAAGAAACATAATAATATCAAGAAAGAAATGTATATATCTTTATTAATAAAAAAGTTATAAGCTGTGGAAAAAGCATTGGAAAAGAAAATCAAGCATATCACACCGAAAAGGTGTTTAAGAGTTAAATGCCGGGCTAACGTTGTAATATAATATTATGAAGTGATGCGAGAAGAAAACGTTGAAGATTTTTGCGCTTTAAATTATAATTTACGTGTTGAATATGTATTTGAAATTAACTTATTTTTCGTTCATATCGATTAATTTTCTTTTTCGTATCTTTCAACGCTCGAATATATAACTGCAGTTTTGATATCGTGATTCGTTTTTAAATATGGTCGGTCCCGCTGCGCGCAGTTCTCATTTTTCTCGCGACATTTAATCTTCTCTTACATGAGCAATTCATCGGCGACCGCGAAAAAATCGCAACTTTTTGGTAGACCACGCGGCACGGTTAATTGGAGATGTATATTTCAGTGCGACTGCTGCAAATTGGAGAACGACGACGACATTCCGCGCACGCTTCCCGACCTGAGTATAATTTATAAGCTGCATTTGGAGTCCAGGAAGCTGATCAATATGTACGACTGGCTGCAGGTAACAATCTGGCCCGTACTCATGTTTACAGGTTAATCCCTGTTACACTTACGGTCACGCACGCGGCCGTCTCGTGATTTTAATCGCCGCCGCCACCGGGAGTGATTCACGCGAGCACGTCATTGTAAGAAAGGCGCAAGGGGTGCCGAGTGCTTTATCGCCGGTCGGTTGTTAGGAAGCCGGTAAAACACTTCTCGTGAAAATTGTACTAGCGAGAACGTACTGTCCGCTGTGAAATTAACACGACATTCTATTAATATAAAGAAAACAAATAATAATGATAATCCCAGTAGCACTTTCCATAGTTCTGCAATTCGTTATAAAAATAAAGTTTCGTATTTTTTGCATTAAAAAATTAAAATTGAAGCCATAGTATTCTAATTTCTAACATCAAAATCAAAGGAGGATGACTTGATACATTTGCTTGCAGGCATTCTTGACGATTGTGGACCCGCAGACCCAGCACACGGAGCAACGCGAGATAGACCCGCTATTACAGTATCCTTTACAAAAGTTTTCGCGAACGCACGAGGCAGTTCTCGTGCGTTCAACGTGATCAGCACTCGTTGAGATTTGTCTTACCTGTGCCATGCCTTTGAAATTCATATCACGCTTCCTAACGCGAGGATCGTAGACGTAACTTCCGCGAACTAGATACCTACGTAGTTTGAATAATTCGCACGTGTTATCTCGCATTTCATCATGTAGTAACTTATCCTTAACGGGGATTCAGAGCTCGGTTTACTCAAGCGGTCGCCGCTCTACAGTTCCTCGGCTTCATCAAGACTTCTCGAAGGAAGACGGATCATGTAAAGCGCCTTACGTAACAATAATATCGCGTGTTTGATTGTTTGGTTTACCCTCGTGGCTTGTTATTTATGCATCGTTTATGAACATGTGTTCCTGAGTTATTCTACTTTTACACCATTTGTATTCATGAATAAATTGATATCGAAATAAATGTTTTTATCCTGCAATTCAATCCCTTCACCGTACACTGAAATATATTTGTACGTTTAGTTTGTTTTTTAATTTTAATATTGCTAACAAAGAGAAAACAAATAATAGTCGTCACACAGATGTAATATTTATTTAATTGCTATGTATTTAAATTGAATAAAATATAACTATATAAAGAAAAATTTAAATTATTTTTAATTTAAAAAATTTGTTTCTGAAAAGATTAAATTTATTCGTTTCCAAAATTTGAGAATATTAAAATTTCCAACTATACGTATATTAAAATATGGAAAAAGAAATGCAAAAATTGCTTGATCTATACATACTCTAACAATAATGTATCGATATATATGTAAGTATCTATAAGCTTAAGAGATAAATTAAGACAAGTAATCCTTCATTATTCATGGGAGACACCCCGGGCTCTTAAATTTTTTAAATGTATGAATGCTATTTATACACATTTTTTAAAATTATATTTAGCGTAAATTATTTTATAATTAAAAAATTTGTTGCATTTATTTTTATCGCATATATCTAGAGATTTGAATGAACGTATACGACTTTTATTAAACGGCATATTTCTTATCGTTTATATGATTCCTCTGGAGATCACCAAACGATCAAGGTTACGTGCCCTGCGTATCAATTTCACCATTTCTCAGAATTCATCGCGGAAGTTGTTACATACCGAATACATCGTTGAATAATTTAACGGCTCACACGCATATTGATGATGCACGTTCTGTATCTGCATAAGTTCCCGCGATCTTGAGATACTTAAATTCCAGGTCTAGATCGACACACAAGTTCCTCTCTCATTTCTCTTCCTCGGCATCCGGGCTTTTAAAAATCCGTAATATCGATTACGCCTCGTCTTTGTGGCGGGGCGTCGAGCGTGCCGCGCGTTCCACGGGGTTGCGAAAAAAAAAAAGCCGACCGAGAGCCCGCACGGCAATCGTTTCCGCATTTTAACGTGGACGAATATCGATTAATTGGATTCCGTCGGCGGCCTTTTTCTCGCCTGGCAACATGGATGGAAGTTAACATTCCATGCGACGATCGACCTTTACTCTTTCACTCCATGATGAACGAAATTCATCCGCGTGAAAAAATTCTGAAAATTTTTAGATCTTTTAAATAAAACAACCGTCGTACAATTAATTTGTCGAATGAAGGAAGCGTACTATTAACACTAGAATCGCCGACAGTATCCCGCTAAAACTGTCGATGATGCCAATAATTTGACGATTCTCTATCCTTGTTTTAATTTAGATTTATTTTGATATTATATTTGTACCGTTTTTAAGAATATTATTTATATCATATTCACATATTTTCAATATTCTATTCTTTATATTACAATACAGATATACATACACAGATTACGATAAAGATAAATGCAATACATTTTTACATTGTAAAACAATTTGCGCTAAATATAAATTTAAAAAATATGTATAAATATTATTTATACATTTAAAGAATTTATAAGGCCGGAGAGTGTCCTGCAACGGATATCCACACGAGTATTGAAGAGTTAATTGTTTCAATTTAATACAACAAAGAAGAAATTGGAATTGATTAGCGGAATCGGAATAGCTTCATTAGTGTTTAGTGTTAAACAACAAATCACAATTGACAGCGTGTGGTTACGTAATGCCATCAGTTTATCTATCTGTTGAACCCACATCAAAGTTCTCTATTTTCTATCGCACTCGTGAGTGTGACAACATTATCGTCCCTCGTTATACATATCGTTACGTTTCCTCCAAACGCCCGTTTCAATCGCTATTGTCGGAAGTATCGTGATGTAGCTTAACCCGTAACACAGGGCCTGTAGAATAATGTTTGGACAAAGCCAAACGGAGATCTCACGTCGCGGCCAATCGTAGAACAATCCTGTATTCAAAGGAGAGTGATGGCGCATGAGGGAGGATTCGGCAAAGGTTAACGTCTGCGTCTCGATAGGGATGCACAGAGTACGTTAACCCTCGCTCCACCTTTGACCCTTATCAAGAAAGGACGAAGCATAGGGAGTACGGAAACGGATAAGCTCGCCCGTGCATAGTATCCTTCGCTGCACCAGCAGTAAAGCTCAAGGATGTAGCGTAAACTTCGGTGTCAAAGCAGCGAAAAGCGCGCGACCTCCTCTCATTGCAAGATTTCCTGGGAGATCTTGGTTTCTTTATCACTATTTGACTTCTACGTCCATTTCTATCAATGTAAATTAACTTTAATCTCGGTTTAACTTACCTTTTATCTTCTTCTGCAGAATTAGACAAAGATAAAGAGTAAATTAAACCGAGATTAAACTTAATTCGCATTTGGTATAGAAGTGAGTTTCAGAATACGAAAAATTTATAGGATATGTAAGGCTTTATAAATGTCTCTTAGATTATCTATTTTGGAATTTAAAAAATATAATTTTCCAAGATTCTTTTTTTTTTTTTTTAAAGGAACTAGAAGTTCAAAAATCGATTGTCTGACACGCAAAGATTCTACACGCCGAAAAGCAGCAAGATACGGTATTTGATTTGTAGGATACAAAGAATCCAAAGAACGTCAGGATCCTCGAGGGACCGACTCGGAATCTGTGTGTACAATAAAAAAAAGAGATACTTTAAAGAGAGAGAGAGAGAGAGAGAAGAAGAATTTCACTAAGTTATAGGACGAAGGCAATAAAAAAATTCAGAGAACCTTATCGATTCATACCGTAGAGCGTCAGAACACAATAATTCTGATGTCAAAGGAGCCAGGAGTTCTGCAAGTCGATTCTGCGGGGATTCCGAGGACTCGGTCTATTGGCCTCCGTGGAGGACTTCGGCTTGTATGCAGATGAATGGAGATACGACGCAGCCGCTTGCATATCCACTTTGCCTTTCACGTTGAGCACGATGGCGGGATCGGACGACGGTATCGATTGGTCGCATTCCCGAAGGTCTCACTCGGATTGACGGGCTGTCTTATTTCAAACGGACCAGCGGGACAGACGCACATCGAAGATTATGTAGATTCGTGATTTTACGACCGTTCGAAATTAAAAGGGAGAAGGAAAAAAGATAGGAAGAACAAACTTCTTTCCAGGTCAATGACCAATGTTTTAGGATTAATCTCAATCAATCTTAATTAATCTCAATTAATCAGTCTTAATTAATCTCGATTAAATAAAAACGTTAGAACGTCAGCAACATTGGAACGAACTTCGAGAGTTTCGGTCCGTCTGTGTATTTTCCACGTGACTTATATTCGACGAGAAGCGACGTAAGTACTTGGAGATAAATCTATGAAGAAGTTTTGTTTCAATAACGCCAAATGCGCCAAATCTGTTCGTTCTTTTTATCTCTCTTTTTTTTTTTTTTACTCTTTCGTGTCTCACGCTGATCTTATCCGCATCTCTTTCCCCACAACTATCCTCGTGTGCTTCGAAGAAAAATCTATTTGCAAGAGAAATCTATGAGAGGTCCACATCTCCAACTCGACCGAACTGTAGATACGGGCCGGGAATCAGTTTTCCGGGTTGGAGCTGCCTAACCTCTCTCGTAACCTTCGTGCTCAATCGACGGCGCGACCCCGATATCCTTTCGGCATCCTCTTTAACTTGTCGCTATCGTTATATTGGATCTACTCCAGCGATGGTCGACAGAGAAACCAAGTCTATTCTTTATCCCGATTGCGCGCGCGCGATTCGCGAATGTATGTATTTTCACGTCTCGCTGTGATTTCTCTCGTTTGAAACGTGCAATTCTTCCTTTTAGCAGAATGAAATGAACGAAACTTTATGTTGAACGTTCTGTTTCGTGAAGTCCTCTTCTATCATCTCTGAAAAATTATGCAGCTTCCGCTCCATCATTCTACTTTGTAAAGATAAATGAATTAAAATAAGTTGACGGATATTCGCGATCTATACAGTCTGTGTAATTGAATTGCTGATCTCTCTTTGAAATCAAAGACTGGCTTTTTAAACGCATTACTCAATTTCCTCGTCACTTAACGTCAATTTTACTAAACTTTAGAGACGTTAGCATTAATCTTTTAACTCTTAAATACTATATTAATTCTTAAATAATATTTCGTATATTGTTAACAATTCCTAACCGGCAAAATTTCAATTGATGATCAACCGCACGCATGCAAATATATTTGAACCGTTTGGCATTTATTAAAATTAACGTGACACGCAGGGTGATATTTTGCGGATAGACGATGCGCTAGAGGGAGGGTTGCGGTGTCGCGGCCGACGTGGTTTGCAAATACCTGCAATTACCAATTATAATTGCACGCAGACTAATTGGTAAACACTAGTAATAACAACGCGCGTTCATCGATCAGCGGAGTGGAAACCATCCACATCACTCGCCAATAAGCGTCAGTTCTAGCCGTCCTCACTTATCCGCTCGTTTGCCATACCTATACTCGTAACACGTTATATTCGTTAGACATGTCGTATTTTTATCTCGTTTCCGTTGTGAAATGTATAGAAGTTATAAATACCAGACTTCATAAGTTTCATGGAAATTTCTATTAGACGATGTTATGTTATTATGCAAAATATCTTTTTGTGCAAGTAGACGAAAATATTTGTGAACTTTATCGAGAAAGAAATAGAATATTGAAAAAAAAAGAATATTTGTCATTGATCTTTTAATGCGAATCTTAAATAGAGTATCTTTTATATTATATATGTGTTTTCTATATACGGATTCTACATACTTTTCTATAGATAATCTTAAATTCTATTAAACGAACAAAATTTATTCGCTAAGATTAGCTTTTAATATGATTTTAATATATGAATACACACACACACACACACCATCTCCTTTTTTAAAATAATTATTATATTATTATACGTATCGATCAACAT